TTTAGACGGGTAATCCTCCGGTGGTCGTTGCGCTGGAACCCCCATCCCCTATACTACTAGGTCTCAAGATCCGTCACTCTACTAACAGAGATACTAATGCTTGTGTCACGTGTCACCAGCAAACATTTTTGCTGTGGCTGTGATAAGGCTGTTGGGCAGGTCGCTTATGTATATCAAAAAGAGTAATGGATCGAGAATTCTACCCTGTGGGACCTCACGTGGTCGATTTCAAATGGTAGTACTTCTGGATAACATAACAAACGCTAAGAAGGCGATAAAAAATCACAGCTGCCTCGGTCTACTGGGAAGAGTAGTATCTATCTTTTCATATTTCCAAGGGCAACCACTAGAAATATTTGTGAAAATGCAAGAAACGATTGTCTGTAATTGGTGAATTATTTTCGAATGAAATCAATATACAAATTCGCTTAAAGTGATTCAAAGAAATTTTGCCAATAACATTATTATGACACTTTGCATGGAAAATAATAATTTAATGGAAGGGGTCACCATTCTCGTTTTCGCGCTAGATGCTCTTCAAATAWATCAGTCATAGGTTTTATAGCAAAATGTGGAAGCAACAGGAAGTGGTGATTAAAAACATTTATTTTAAGTTCAAAGTGTTTCTTTACGACAAAGTTTCAAAGTTTACCAGTTAAGCTTTACTACTAATTTTCAAATATTTTGATGAGAATAGTTAAAGCATGCGATATCTATACTTGCATGTAACACTAATATTTTAGCAATCATATTCATCAAATTACTCTAATATACTTAAAGAAATAGAAAAGGTGCGCGCGTGCTGTGTGCAGTTATAAGGCACGCGGGGATGGGCAGAAAACGAGAGAAGTGTTAGGGGAAGCACGACGTGTAGCGGAGTGCTTCTCGACATTTCTCGAGTGTTCTGCCAATCCTCAAGTACGTGCTTTATAACTCACACAGCATAGCAAGCAAGTTTTCTATTTCTTTTATAAAATGCAAAGGGCGTGTGTGTGCTGTGTGCTTTCATAAAGCACGCGCTCCCAACCAATCAGAATGCGAGATGTATAACAGTTATTTTATAATCTAGCCAATAATCTTTCCTTCATATTTTGATATATAATACGCAACACTGATCCCGTTAAAGATCTCAAATAAAAAAGGGAGTCACCATTCTTGTTTCCGATTTATTTTGAAAAAAACCCCAACAAATATGAATAGAAAATTATCGTAAACATACACTTTTCGAGGGAAGACTGGGCGAACGTTTTATGAAAAATATGCAATTTTTCGACACTAAAAAAAAAAAAGAGAAAAAAGGAAAATTTAGTTTTGAACACATTTTTTAGTATGAAACAAAATAGCTAAACTGGGTAAGATCCATGCTTCAGTCCTATGCGCATAAAAATGCGCAGTTGAAACCAAGGGAATTACCTTAATAGGAGACGACCTAAGCAAATGTCGCGCTTGTCAGGGCAATAGATCTTTATAGCTTTGGCTAAATGTTGTCCCATTTCAGACCACTTTTCATTCAATAAAGTATAATATTATTTGTTTGAGTTGTATCCATATTCATGCGTTTTTCGTGCGCAACCGATAAACAAACAAACTTGAAAGCATATTTTGTGCCACATAATAGAGCACTACGAATACTGAGAGCAATAAACTTGAACGTCAAGGGCAGATCCAGGAATTTTTGACAGAGGGATCCAATGGTTGAGATGGGAGAGGGGGGGGGGGGGGGGGCGTGTCTATCCGTATGATTCATACAGATTTATTTCACCCCTGTGGCAAACCAAGGGCACTAGGACAACGAACGTGGTTGGATTTCTATAGGTTTTGTTTTCCTTTCGATTATTTGAATTAAATTAACGTTATACTTGTTTACTTATCTTGTGTCCGTGTTCCTTCGCTGTTATAATGCAGCCGTTTTCTTCCAAAAGTCAAACGGTTTAAATAGCCGATGAGCGTTACTTCTTTAACGGCCGTTCCGTACTTGACTCTGTTTGTACTATACCAACAACAACGCGACCGCTCGATGATCCTTACGTCAGTAATATTCAACCGTCCTAGACTTAATATGGTTAATCGAATCACCTTAAGTTTCATATAGAGCTCTATCCTGGATCCCTGGATCCCCTGGATCTGCCCTTCGGCATGCAAAGTAGAAAGTATTGTTTTTCTGCACCATTTACATTTAGCACTTCATTGGTTATTAAACATTCACAGCTACGGTGATCAATAGTACTTTTATCATTATTATTTGATTGCAATTTTTAAATATGTTACAAGCACGAGTTAGTACAATTGTGATCAAGAAATGTAGAGAACAAAAAATGAGCAAAAGCGACCACTACCTATCGAAGAATGTGTGCGGTAAATTTGAATATATACCTTTTTCAAAAAAAGCTGAGCAATAGGTGATAAGCGAAAGGGAATATGTCTTCCAGGTTCAAATTACAGCTGGAATAAATTGAGTTTCTTATCTTTAGTGTTGCTTGTAGTAGAAGAAACCATTTCAGTAAAACTTCTAGATTATTTGTCTTTAGGCGTATGCCTATAATTTTTACCTTTTACTTCGGAATGACCTATGGCATATTGCCTCCAACAACGTTTTTTGAAGTAGGTCTATAAAAAGCACTTTTCTTTCAAAATCATTATTTTTTTCTGATTGAGTTCATCATTCTGATTTTTTCTTGCATATAAAGGAACTCTTTGAGTTGCAGTCTTTTGCAAACCATTCTTTTGTATTTACCATTTTCACGCAATTTCTTGCATCAGTGTTGTCAGCAGTGAGGCTTGTCTGTGTGAAGGTGAGGGTTTTCCATCCGACCACTGGAAAAGCCCTTCAGTAGTGATGTCATTCAGTCCAATCCAAGCTTTGAAATCCTCGCCATCTTAATTTAAATAAATTCTTCCAGTTATATTCGTTTGGTGTGTTCATTACTACAAATCTATTGACCAGGACATTAATCTTATCCGGTGCTTTTTTAAGTGATAAGGTTGATCAGATTTTACTAATCGTGAGAGTATTTTTTCTTTCCCAATGAAACCAGCAAAATGAAACCAAACTGAATTTAAAAGAAAGCAATCGTATTTAAGCATGTAAAACATGTAAAACATGCTTAAATACAATTGCTTGCACCCGCAAACTGATATCTAAATCAAATGCTACGACTACAACAATTACACAAACTATCACACGCCGCTCTCTCACTCAACTCGGGGGGATGGGGTGGGTGGGTGGGGATATGATTAAATACATGCTGCGCACGAATAACGTCGATCTTCTTTTGAAGAACAGTTGCGTTCATTACCTTTCAGTTTTTGAATGTCTTCCCTTGATAAGGCCTTCGGAATCACGATCAAGTCTCTTATCCAGCCATGGAAGTATTTGTTGCTGGCTCCATCACGTGCACCTATCCTCCAGACAGGATATGGATTGTCATACAGATCAATGTTTTGAAAGGTCACGGTTTTGGATCTCTTCTGAATGGCGTCTTGAAAGATTTTTGCTGTCATCTGTTCTTGATTCCATGTGAGGGAAAAGTGGGTCCATTGGTCGAGAGGAATGCCCCTGAAACAGACAGGTTTATGAGTTCACATCGGTTCGTAAGAATTTGCTATGGAGAATACCTAACTTGTGCCACTGCAAGACGTTACCAGAGGCGTACCCAGGAGTTTTGAAAGAGGGGTTTTAGGTTTGATTTCATGCCAGAAAATAAAATCATTAATTTCTGTTGCAAAAAACAAGGGTCGCAATAAAAAAGGTTTTTGAATATCCACTAATAAATATGCAGGAGTTCTAACTATTGGCGACCAAAAACCAACGTGGACTGTAGCTATAGCACGAAAACGAGGCTGACCATGAAGTCGCACGCTCGCAATTCGTCACAACAGTAGGTAAAGGGCAATTTGATGATGGCAATTTGAATCAAAATCAGTTTAACTATGGGTAGAATTTTGTTTCATAGGGACACGGAAAACAGTATCCGTGAATGTGTTTACTTATTTATTCATTTAGTGAATCGATTACAAACTCACATGTAACACGAAGTTTGGTTTCAAAGGGGGTTTCTGGAATCCATGGAACCCTCCCTTGGATACTCCCCTGGTTATAGTTAAAAGGAGGAGTAAAACTCGTGCATCTTCTAATTTGTGGTTTATAATCTCTATGGTTTGCTTGAAGTAAACCCTTTTCCGTTTTAGGCCTTGTATGATCTATCTACAGTGATCTGAATAATTATCACAGCTTCTGTGCTGAAACACTTTAGTTCTGAGGAGGAAGATTCCCACTAGCCATGGTGTGGCAAATATTTGGATGTCAGGTTTAAAATCACGAGGCATAGCCGAGGGGTTTTAGACCTGATAAAACACGATCTGCGAGTTTATTGAACAGCTTCAAAAACTCATTCATAATAAGTATAATATTCTCACTAAGAGCTCCCACGCACAAAGCATGCCTAAAGTGGCACTAAATTATGGGGAGATGACCTCCGAGGTGGTAGCGAGCCGGTAGCTCCCAGGGGAAAGCTCGTTCACCAAGCTCAATTGAACGCCCCGGGGAGGTGATTGGTGTGTCAAGCTGGAATTTCCTGGGATTATCCACTATTTCTACGTGCACCACATACAAAGCTATAAAACTTGTAGCAAAACACATTAACCCCAAAAAATTATACTTTTTCGCTTGTCTAACGATTGTGGCAGTTCGGAGGACCGCGACGTTTCCAATGCAACTGCTAGTTTTCATCAGGCAGTGGTGTAGACTTGAAGGTAGTCTTCTTATATACCGTAAGTCTGGCTCCCTCCATAATCGCACCAGAGTTGTGATTGGCTAGCTGCGGGTGGTGGGCGTGACGGAGTGCTTTCGAGTGGTCGGTATCCACGCTTCCGTAGTCTAATATGGATGGCTTTTTTGACTCTGCGTGTGTACCAGTATTTGTCTTAGTCAATGTAATCGACGTTCTTCCAATCTGGGCTGTGGCCGGTGGTATTGGCGTTCACCCCACTTACTACTTTTTACGTGCACTAGAAAACTCGAAAACCAGCAGCAAAATACATCGGTCCCACGTACAAATTACGTGCACCGCAAAAGTAGAAAACCAGTAGCGAAACACATTCTCTTTCCACTTAACGCGCACCAGAGCCAGCATGCAATAGTCAAGATAGGGGCGCTAGTAGACGAGATTTTATCGCTCGCCGGGGATCATACGTGAGACGTTGATAAAGCTTCATCTTAACTTGGATGCAACTTTATCCCAGATAAAGTCGTTATTATTCTGATATCGTATTAATATTAAAACGCAGCACAACTAGTCATAGTAATGTGATTATTCATAGATAAATTTGAATCAAACCAAATTCCCAAATTTTTAACAGGGAAGTGCGAAGCTATACTAACATTACCAACACTGACATGTTCAATGTTAACTTTAGCGAGCTGCTGTCTAGTGCGAATCAACAAGAACTCAGTCTTGGTTTCATTCATAAATAGCCTTTTATCATACATACACTCCCTAACCTTCTGCACACATTGCTCCATAGCTGCTATAGCCCATGTCTGGCAAGTCTCGTCTGTGGGACTAAGAGACACGTATAGTTGAGTGTCATCTGCATAGCAATAGACGGACGGCAGATAATCTTTTGCCACATCAAGTAAGGAGCTCGAGTAAAGAGCGTTTCAAGACAAGAACCCTGAGTAACCCCGCAGTCCAAATTAAACTTCTCAGACTGGCATCCACGAACAGATATTCGCTGACAGCGACCCTATAAGTACGATCTGAACCACTCAAGTACTGTACTCCCACGCCAAGCAAATCTAGTGCTCGCTGCATGATAGTAGCACTAGAAGAGTCACTTGCTGCTTATTCATATTCAAAAGAATGTCATTTTTGACTTTCAGAAGAGCGGTCTCAGTACTATGGTGCTTTCGGTAAGACGACTGTGTAGTTGGATATAACCCATTTGCAACCATGTGATTATTGGTTTGATGGAAAACCGATTTCTCCATGAGCTTAGATATGAATGTCAAGTTACTGACGGGCCTGAAGTTCTTAAATATTATGTCAAGTTCAGGCTTTTTAAGTAACGCATGTACCAGAGCCTCCTTCCAATCGCCAGGAAAGTGCCCACTTTGTAATGACATGTTAATGATGGTAGTAATAACTGGCAGCAAAGCATCACATTTACTAACCAAACGAGAGAGCATAGGATCCAGTGAACATGACTTCAAGGCCGATTGCTGCATAAGCGATTTGACATCATCAACAGGAAAGGTCTTAAACACAGTTAGCAGTGGACAAGACTCAGCCTTGACGAAGTAGAAGTGGTAGACACAGAAGGGGCTATTGAGATTGGACGATCGGCACCAAGCTTTCTCTGGAACAAATCAATTTTCATCACAAAGAACTTTCCCAAGTCGTTTGCAAAAGTACGTGCATCAACATTTGGAGGAAAACCATCGCCACGTGACTGGATCAACAGGCGTTTACTGGAATGAAACAGTTTTCCCTAGTCGCCACTATTTTCCACGATAAAATTAGCGTAAAACTCGCGACGCTCCTTATTGAGAAGGTTATTAAAAGCATTGCGCTTGATTTTAAAATCAGCCAGGTGATGGCCAAGTTTCGTACGTCTCCATCTCCTTTCAGCTTTCCGACGTTCCCTCTTTGCTTGTCTAATTGCGTCTGTGTACCATGGAACTCGCGGGGCGGGTGACAATAGTTCGGGTCTGTAAAGGAGCATACTTGTCAATAACAGCTTCAAGAGTTGCGTGATAGGAAGCTACGAGATCATCCAAATTCTTCGGCGGATTCTGACACGACTCCACATCAGCGAGCTCATATTTGAGGGAGGCGACACGAACTGATTTAAATTTCCTATAGGAAACGGTCTTTACAGTAAGGGAAGGCTTGGTAGAATATAGGCTGCACGTGACAGCCGCGTGGTCACACAGATAAAGGTCAATATGAGGAGTCGAACAAATGATCTGGTCACACTGGCGCGTGATGACCAAGTCCAAAGTGTGTCCATGAATATGGGTGGGGCCAATCACATGCTGTCGTAGACTAAATGACTCCAATAGATCAAGTAATGTGATCGAATCACTATCGTCCAGCACATCCACATGAATATTAAAATCACCACAGATCACCAACTGCTCTTTGCATAGCACTACAGACTCAAGATAGCCACTGAATTCTCTCAAAAACGTACCATGATGGATCGTATAATCATGGGAGTCGCACTAAGGTCGATATACAATAGCAACACGCACATCATGAGATGCCCCCCGTACTGTCAATTCTGCAAACTCGAACGACATTTTTGCACCACCGTCAACTTTCGTAGCAGCTAATGATTCCCAGAACAACAAGGCTGTACCGCCACCCCTTCGATCCATTCGCGGATGGTCAATTAACTTGTACCCATCTGGACAAAGCTATGCACGAACAGCATCATCATTAACGCCTAGCCAAGTCTCCGTGATGGCAATCAGATCCGCTCTACACTCACAAACAAAATCAAAGATGTCAGCAGTTTTGTTATTGACAGAAATTGAGTTGAATAAGCACAATGACAATGGCGAGTTGGATTCGTATTAAAAGGCAGCCGCTCAAAATTAATAAGATTCGAAGAGTTCCTTGACTGAGTGCGCTGTAGAGTGCAGCGAGGATGGGAACAAGTTGGGCGAGAGATTGAATTATTGTCATTGTCATTAGGGCCAGGATTTAGTTTAAAGACTAAATCACCTTGTAACAAACAATGGAATGTCGCACTTGAATAATTTGAATAATAACTGCACGTCCACTTGTATCGCTTGATCCTGACACGACGAGACAAGTAACCTAAATGACCAACGGGATAGAGATGAACAGCAACCTTGTGCCAAGTGTGAAAGGAAGACAACGGAGAGCAATTGATGGAATGCAGCCGATTGTTCGCTGAATCGACAAAACGCCAAACCGACGCAAACGTAACATCAAACTCTGTATTTTCTGGAAAGATGGTGAAATTTCCAAGACTTTTCGCTCTCAAAACTGTGCTCCTGGGGTTTAGACATGATCCTGTGATGTTTAGGTTGTAGTGTAGTTTTGGAGAAGAAAAAGTACAAAAACTACTGAGCCACAAAATCCGTTGCCACCCCTCATTACAATAAATGTATAGTATATAAGGCTTATAAACTTAAGAGGCTATGTCTGTAAAAATCAAACATCTAGCGGCCAAGTTGAAAAAATCGATTTTTTTCATACTTGGTCCAAAGATGTAGAATACCATCCCAATAAACGTACTGATGTTCATTTTGAATAATTTCACTTTTATTTTGAGAAAATCGTGAAAATCGATTTTGGCCGTCGGTGCCCTCATTTCAGCCTAAATCCGAGGTGAAAATGGTAGGTCTGAGAAAGGCGATCGCGTT